TTCCATCCCCTGCATATTGAAGTTCATCACAAAGCTCTTGTAGCTTGGTGGAAGCGACTGGAGGATTCTGTCAATGACCGCATCATCCGGGAGATTAACTCCCAGCTGAGTCAAGCGGTTATGTAACCCAGACATAGTGAGTATGTGCTCACTGACATAACTATTTTCCTCCATCTTACAGCTGAAGAATTTGTCGGAGACTTCATATCTCTCGACCCGGGCATGAGCTTGAAAAACCATTTTCAGCTCTTCGAACATCTCATATGCTCCATGTCTCTCAAAACGCTTTTGGAGCCCTGGCTCTAAGCTGTAAAGCATGCCGCACTGAACGAGGGAGTAGTCATCAGCACGTGTCTGCCAAGCGTTCATAACGTCTTGGTTCTGTGGGACGGGTGCATCACCTAGTAGTGCTTGTAGGACATATTCTTTCTTGGCAGCTATGAGGATGATCCTCAGGTTCCGGACCCAGTCCGTATAGTTGCTGCCATCGTCTTTCAGCTTGGTTTTCTCTAGGAACGCGTTGAAGTTGAGGACTACGTTGGCCATTTGATCTACAAGACATATTGTAAATAATTTAGACTAAGTTCATGACAATTAAGTTCATCTAATCAAATTATTCAATGAACTCCCACTTAGATAGACATCCCTCCAGTTATCTAAGTATAACATGATCCGAGTTAACTAGGCCGTGTCCGATCATCACGTGAGACGGACTAGTCAACATCGGTGAACATGTTCATGTTGATCGTATCTTCTATACGACTCATGCTCGACCTTTCGGTCTTCTGTGTTCCGAGGCCATGTCTGTACATGCTAGGCTCATCAAGTCAACCTAAGTGTTTGCATGTGTAAATCTGCCTTACACCCGTTGTATGTGAACGTTGGAATCTAACACCCGATCATCATGTGGTGCTTCGAAACAACAAACTGTCGCAACGGTGCACAGTTAGGGGGGACACTTTCTTGAAATTATTATGAGGGATCATCTTATTTACTACCGTCGTTCTAAGTAAACAAGATGAAAAAAAACATGATAAACATCACATGCAATCAAATAATAAAAGTGACATGATATGACCAATATCACATAGCTCCTTTGATCTCCATCTTGGGGCTCCATGATCATCTTGTCACCGGCATGACACCATGATCTCCATCATCATGATCTCCATCATCGTGTCTCCATGAAGTTGCTCGCCAATTATTACTTCTACTACTATGGCTAACGCGTTTAGCAATAAAGTAAAGTAATTTACATGGCGTTTCTCAATGACACGCGGGTCATACAAAATAAAGACAACTCCTATGGCTCCTGTCGGTTGTCATACTCATCGACATGCAAGTCGTGATTCCTATTACAATAGCATGAACATCTCATACATCATATATATATCATTCATCATTCATCACAACTTTGGCCATATCATATCACAAAGCACTTGCTGCAAAAACAAGTTAGACGTCCTCTAATTGTTGTTGCAAGTTTTACGTGGCTGCAATAGGGTTCTAGCAAGAACGTTTTCTTACCTACGTGAAAGCCACAATGTGATTTGTCAACTTCTATTTACCCTTCATAAGGACCCTTTTCATCGAATCCGCTCCAACTAAAGTAGGAGAGACAGACACCCGCCAGCCACCTTATGCAACTAGTGCATGTTAGTCGGTGGAACCGGTCTCACGTAAGCGTACATGTAAGGTTGGTCCGGGCCGCTTCATCCCACAATACCGTTGAAGCAAGATAAGACTAGTAGCGGCAAGAAAGTTGACAACATCTACGCCCACAACAAATTGTGTTCTACTCGTGCAAGAAGAACTACGCATAGACCTAGCTCATGATGCCAATGTTGGGGAACGTTGCAGAAAGCAAAAAAAATTCCTACGGTTTCACCAAGATCCATCTATGAGTTCATCTACCAATGAGTGATTGGATTGCATCTACATACCTTTGTAGATCACGCGCGGAAGCATTCAAAGAACGGGGATGAGGAAGTCGTACTCGACGTGATCCAAATCACCGAGATCCTAGCGCCGAACGGACGGCACCTCCGCGTTCAACACACGTACGGTCAGCGTAATGTCTCCTCCTTCTTGATCCAGCAAGGGGAAGGAGAGGTTGAGGAAGATGGCTCCAGCAGCAGCACGACGGCGTGGTGGTGGTGGAGCTGCAGTACTCCGTCAGGGCTTCGCCGAGCTCTATGAAGGAGTAGGGGGGTGTTGGAGAGGGAGAGGGAGGCACCAAAGGCGTGGGTGAGAGGCCCTCCCTCCCCCCCACTATATATAGGGGGCCTAGGGGGGCGCCGGCCCTAGGAGATCCAATCTCCTAGGGGGGCGGCGGCCAAGGGGGTGGGGTGCCCCCCAAGGCAAGTGGGGAGCCCCCCCCCCCCACCCTAGGGTTTCAACCCTAGGCGCAAGGGGTGGGCCTTGGGGGGCGCACCAGCCCACTAAGGGCTGGTTCCCCTCCCCACTTCAGTCCATGAGGCCCTCCGGGATAGGTGGCCCCACCCGGTGGACCCCCGGGACCCTTCCGGTGGTCCCGGTACAATACCGGTGACCCCGAAACTTGTCCCGATGGCCGAAATAGCACTTCCTATATATAATTCTTTACCTCCGGACCATTCCGGAACTCCTCGTGACGTCCGGGATCTTATCCAGGACTTCGAACAACATTCGGGTTACTGCATATACATATCCCTACAACCCTAGCGTCACCGAACCTTAAGTGTGTAGACCCTACGGGTTCGGAAGACATGTAGACATGACCGAGGTTGCTCTCCGGTCAATAACCAACAGCGGGATCTGGATACCCATGTTGGCTCCCACATGCTCCTCGATGATCTCATCGGATGAACCACGATGTCGAGGATTCAAGCAACCCCGTATACAATTCCCTTTGTCAATCGGTATGTTACTTGCCCGAGATTCGATCGTCGGTATCCCAATACCTCGTTCAATCTCGTTACCGGCAAGTCACTTTACTCGTACCGTAATGCATGATCCCGTGACCAGACACTTGGTCACTTTGAGCTCATAATGATGATGCATTACCGAGTGGGCCCAGTGATACCTCTCCGTCATACGGAGTGACAAATCCCAGTCTTGATCCGTGTCAACCCAACAGACACTTTCGGAGATACCCGTAGTATACCTTTATGGTCACCCAGTTACGTTGTGACGTTTGGTACACCCAAAGCACTCCTACGGTATCCGGGAGTTACACGATCTCATGGTCTAAGGAAAGGATACTTAACATTGGAAAACTCTAGCAAACAAACTATACGATCTTGTGCTATGTTTAGGATTGGGTCTTGTCCATCACATCATTCTCCTAATGATGTGATCTCGTTATCAATGACATCCAATGTCCATAGTCAGGAAACCAAGACTATCTGTTGATCAACGAGCTAGTCAACTAGAGGCTTACTAGGGACATGTTGGTGTCTGTTATTCACACATGTATTACGATTTCCGGATAACACAATTATAGCATGAATAAAAGACAATTATCATGAACAAGGAAATATAATAATAATCCTTTTATTATTGCCTTTAGGGCATATTTCCAACACTTTGAACTCTGAATAAAATCTTTAGTTCACCTAAAAAAGGTTTTTTTACATGGGGGGGGGGGTCATGGAAACGGTGCGTCGTTCACTTGTTGGAGGATTACAAAAATTGTTTGGTTTCAAACAGGCAGGCTGATTATTTATTTATTTTTGCAACTTTCTTGCAGGTTCGAGAAGAAATACTAGTAGAAAAAAACATGATTACAAGGTCATGCACACTCTAATCCCACAAGATATTTTCCCACCGAAGTTCGCTTAACTGCGCTATATATTTGAGGCAGAGAATAATATAATAAAATGACTGTATGCATCGAGGTCATCCTTCATTTCCAAAAAATGAAAAAGATTTGAGGCAGCGCAAACCCAGTGAAAAGTGCTCGAAGAAGTGCTTAGGAATATAAACATCATTTTTTCTTAAGCAGCTGCTAAACACATATTTATAGATCACAAATGCTTAGTTTGACACATTTTCTAAAAACGGCTCAATTTGACAGTGTTATAGAAATAAACGCTAGTGTTTAAAACATCAGTTTTCTTTTTTCTAAGCACCTACACGCTTTGGATTGAGGGACAGAAGGAGCTACAGGCCAACAAGGAATAAAAGAAGCTGTTCCACTCGGAGCTCTTTTTTTTAAAAAAAAAGCTTAACTCACATTTCAGGAGCGGATGCTGCTCGAGCTAAAGATATGCCCCCAACTCTTGAACAGCTCTCACTTGCCTTGGCCGGTAGCTTGAAATAAACGCTAATGTTTAAAACATCAGTTTTCTTTTTTCTAAGCACCTACACGCTTTGTATTGTGGTCTGTGCATGACCTAATAGGCTCGGTTAAAATTTCATGACCCAAATATTGCACACAGAAAAAAAAACTTCTAATTGTATTTAATGCCTAGGTCAATTTCCTAAGTATGCAATATGAATTTAATGAAAAGTAACTACAGCTTGGTAAAGAGTACAAAGCTGCATTTTTCATAACTTAGACATAACAAAAATAAATAAATCTTTGCGCTCATTTGAAGTTCTTAATTCTAAAAAAGTCTTCAGAATGTTTTAAACGCACAACTTGCCCGCACTAACACACAGGAAATCGCTATGTTCGAAGCAAGCGATGTCTAGTAGAGGCACATAATCAGTTTGTCTAGCCAAATCTGTTACTAATATGCAAGACAACATTACATCATCTGGGAACATGTCAATGCTGGCGCCTATATACAAGAATTCAGCCGTCACATAGTTCTTGTGGTACCAATTACGATTTGGTAGACACATCATGCAATCCTCAAGCGCGTGCGTGGAAAGCTCTTCATCAGGCAGAATCCAAGAAGACTGCATGAAAAGTAGAATTGCATCTTTGTAAGGAAGAGCCTTCTCTACTAATCATAACGCAAATCTAATTTGGCATTAACATCCAGCTTGTAAGTACACTTTGCTAACCTGATTTAGTGTCGGTAATTTTTATCGTAGAATGGATTTTCACCCCATGAATCTCTCTCAGCCTTGCCCATCTTTTCAGCTTCCGCCTCCTGCAAGATTGACCGCCTCGTGCTCCTAAACTTTGAAGGCTTTGTACTTGTAGACTGAAAAGAGTAGATAAATTAATTGCACTAGCTAGAAGGAAGATAAAACATATAGAGGGGAAGTACAATTTATGTAAGTGTAGCAATTGAACTATCAGCACGCTGGTGCAAGAAAACCTGCAAGTCAATGCTATACAATGCAAGCATTCAAAAGAGTGAGTTAATCAGCTAGTTATGTTGCTTCACTTACAGTAAAAATGGCATGATTCATAAACCAGTAAAAATGACGTCACAGTACTACGCAGACTAGCATGAAAGAAGGACAAATATCACATAAATGACATAAGCAGGAATATAGAAACACTCCAATAGATAAACATATGATACTAAAGTAATGCATTTGCAAGTATTTTAGCCGACAACAGGAATACCTTGCTAATTAGCTTCTCAAACGCTTCCGGTCCATTTAGTTCAATATATTTCTCAGCGGCTGAGAGTACGTCATCAGATTTACTCAACTTCTCCTTCCTTGGAACGTACCAGATGTTGACTATTTGGCGATTCACAAACATTGGCCGCGCAAAATGCTCGTAAACATAAGCAGCACCATTGAAGCAAGGAAAGACTAGCCAGCAGTTGAAGAACAGTTTTCCATAGGGCCAGAATGGAAGCCTTCAAAAAACAATGTTAAGAAGGTAAGAGGAATATTTAATCTAGTATATTAAGAAACTCCAGCTTGCAGAGGTAAGAGGAAATTTTAACCAAAGCCGTCCAATGATCAAGGGTAATTCTGGTTACAGGATTTTTTTTACTTATGCAAGTTATTTCTGATGCGTTGAAAACGAAATGTTTTGTCTTTTAATGTAAAAAACACACCTATGTTTCTTCGTTCATACCATAAGAATGGATTACAAATTATACTACATACACAATGATCGATATACTCCCTCCTTCCATCTATATAGGGCCTAATGCGTTTTTCGAGGTTAACTTTGACCAAATGTTAGAGCAATAATACTCCCTCCATTCCCTTATACAAGGCCACAACCAAAATTACATTTTGCATCAATACAAGGCCACCAACAATAACCGAGGCAAAAAATAATGAAGTTTCTTCGTACTAGCAACTATCTAATACTTACATGCATGTAGTCATAATGACACTTAGCTACTTACTTCCCATTCATTCGTTGCATGCTTGTGGCGTATTAATGATCCCGATTAACAAAAAGAAAAGTTGACTTGAAAAGCAGTCATTAAGTTTTATCTTGGTACCTGTAATATGAGTTTGTGGCCTTGTATAAGGGAATGGAGGGAGTATATGACATGCAACTTACACAAAGCATATCGTCAAATTCGTATGTGAAAGGAGCTTTCAATGATATAATTTTCACATTACGCATGCCATGTACTATAGTCAAAATCTTGTCAATAGAATGGAAGCCTTCAAAAAACAATGTCAATAGTCAAAGACGTTCTTAAAAATGCATTAGGCCCTATATAGATGGAAGGAGGGAGTAGCAAAAATTCAGTTTCAAGTTGTTAATATTTGTTGGCGAGGACATTCTTATTCTTCTGTGCCATACATGTAGATCATGAATTGAATCAAAGATGCAAAGTAGCACTAGCACGTGCAACATCCGTCCAGGTTGTATTTTGAACTTGAAGCATAGCAGTAGCACATCTGGCCCATTTTATCGACAATGGATAGCATTCTGTTCTTATACTACCTACCTAAGTGCTTTCAAAGTTCCGTAAGTATCAAATGGTTGTGTTAGTGATGCCATGTAAACTAAAGTAAATAGTATGCACTGGAGACACTAGCAAGGAAACGAAAACTAATATAGAATTAATACAACAAATTACCTCCTTATTTCCTTATTAACCATGGTGCTTTAGTTATGTATCGTTTCCCTCCAGACTTATATTGAGTGCAAAGTCTACGACAACCTTACGAGGTAATAGTAGGTATGAACCATTAGGTTACATAGGATTAACGGCTCATACTAGTTTGATTGCAGTCTTATAATTTCTCTCTCAGGAAAGCATATCTGAACATCAATTCGCCTTGTAATAGGATTGATGACTCATATTAGTTTGACTCTAGTAAAGGGCAGCCCGGTGCACGTAGCTCCCGCTTGCGCAGGGTTCGGGGAAGGGTCCGACCACTTTGGGTCTTTTGTCGCAGTCTTTCCCTACATTTCTGCAAGAGACTGTTTCCAGGACTCGAACCCATGACCTCATGGCCACAAGGCAACAGCTTTACTGCTGCACCAAGGCTCCCCTTCCGTTAGTTTGATTGCAGTCTTATAAAAGAAGACATTATTGCAGTCCTATAATTTCTCTCTTATGAAAAGATATGTGATCATCTATCCGCCTCTTGGTGCATCAAATAGTTATATTCAGGTATCTCCAATGATTTTAGCAACAAATAATGAATAACACAAAAAAACCAAGAAAAGCATAAAAGGGAGCACATTGAATCAGGGCCAATTCTTCTCTTCATCTTTTAGTGTTACAGCTTTCACTACTGGAAAGTAGAAATTATGAGGAGTGCCACCAACACTGAACATTTTGGGGTATTTAAGGTCTAAAATTCTAAAATATAGTGTATCTGAAGAGCCAGAAAAGTGATGTTTACCATTCAAGTATCGGAGCAAAAGTGAGCTCAAACAAAGTGATAAACGAGTACAGCACCCAGTAAGTAAGCCATTGCTGATCATCTACTTGAGATTTTGTTTCAATTGCTCTCACAGAAGCATATCTGCAAACAGTGTTAACAGAGAAAATGTGGAAATTACAACAGTGGAAATCAGTACCAAGATGAAAAGAGGTAAGTGAATCATGAAACTGAGGATAATGGTAATACTTACAGAGGATAAGCAAGCGAAACTAGTGGCCTGCAAAGAGGAACCAAGATTAAATTGGAACTAAAAGCACTTAGGTATAGCATTTAGAATCCCTAAAAAAAGTATAGTATTTAGAAAAATATCCTAGTCCTGAAGCTAAAGGCATCACACAGACATAGAGCCAGCTATGTCTCTCGGAGAATACATGATAAGACGGCATTATCATTTTTAAGATGAAATATGTTTATTCTTAACAGTTAACCCCATTGTCTGTACTGACATGACAACAATGCAGACAAGCTACTGCACCAACAAAATGTATTTAGCTCCGCAAGATTGTAGCAGCACATGACAGCAGATCCAGTAGTTAAATTGAGCTTCGTTTGTATAACACCGAATTCAAGTTATATCCTGAACACCAATCACTCTCTTCAAATAGACCCGCAGCATTGCTTCCTCCTCTAGGCACGGCTACATTTGCACTGGAGATATAAACGTGTCCCGGACAGAGGAATCGGTATATCTGTCCTTAACTTCCTATTATCCCCACAGCACTGGGGCATACAGATCAGCAGGACGAGCATTAAGTTGCGCAACACAAACTGCTGTCAGCAGTCAGCACCACGTGGTTGGTAATCTCTGTGGAAGCATCAAGCATACAGCTAGTCCAAGATGCAAACATAAACAAGTACTCCACTTGATGCTCTCAAAGAAAGCATCAAGATATCACGCAGAAAACCCCAACTTTGAAGCTAGGGCTTTGAAGTAGCATATTTTCCGTTGCCACTCTCAGAGAAGGAACCAATATAAGGACACGACAAAAAAAATCCTAACTTTGACACTAGGGCTTTGAAGTACAGTCGGATTATTTTTTTCGACCGACACTCTCAGAGACAGCATCAATATAAGGAAACAGGAAAAGAAATCCTAACTTTGACACTAGGGCTTTGAAGCAGGGCATTTACATTTTCTTCCGCCAGCAAGATCCACATGACCCACACGCATTTGCTCACCCTTACCCCGGGACAGCACCTACGAATCGACCGCTCCAAGATTCTCGCACATCTTCGCCACAAAACCCAAGCCCCAAGCGCAGCCTACCAGGCTAACGACATGAACGGCAGATCCATGACATGAGGAAACCGCAGCAACGATGAATCCCCCCAAACTAATCGACCAGTGAACCAATCGCCGGGCGAGGATGCAGCCTTGAACCAGAGCAAGAAAGGGGGAGGGGAAGGGAAGGGGGAGGAGCCCGTACCCGGCGAGGACGTCGAAGTTCTTGGCCAGCACCTTGAGGAAAGATCCGGACCCCATCCCTCTCGCACTCCCCTCCTCCTACCCCTGCTGCTTCCTCGACTCCACTCGCTCCCCCCTCCTGGGTTCCGCAGTACTAGCACCTACTACTACCCTAGTGCGGCGCCGTCGGGGCGTGCGCACAGTAGTGGGAGCAGATTCCTCTTCTTTGCGAGCCGTTGGTGTTTGGTGCACGCGCTTTCTTCTTTTTCACTCGTCTTTTCTCTGGTTTACTTTCTCGCTCTCGTTTTCTTTTCTTTATTATATACGCGAGATACTCTTCGGCATCTTTTCTGAGACGTTTCTCGCTCCTTGCGTATGGCCGACCGCCCTGTGCCGGGACGCCGACGGCTCTTGGGTAGCGGCCACCGCAGAAGGTTCTAGAGTACTTCCATCGTTCACTGGCTGGTAAGGTGGGCTCATTCAGTTTGGCCCATCAATGAAAATGTGTGGATTTCAGTGCAGTTTTGGCCCGTTAAGTCTTGTGAAAGCATAACATATCTAAAGGCCATCGGTTGCAGAAGATCTTAATCTGCATAATATCATAGTTGCATCTGATAGGCAAGAAGTGGTTAACGATATCAATAGGGGGACGAGGGGCCCCAATGCTGGTATAGTGCATGAAATAATAGGTCGTAAGAATAGTTTTCAGTTATGTAATTTCATTCATAAGCGTAGAACTACAACTATGAGGCTCATAAACTTGCCAAGTTCTTTTGTAACCTAGATTCAGGTAGATATGTGTGGTTGGGGAATCCTCATGACCCAACAGTGGGTATAGTGCATGAAATAATAGGTCGTAAGAATAGTTTTCAGTTATGTAATTTCATTCATAAGCGTAGAACTACAACTATGAGGCTCATAAACTTGCCAAGTTCTTTTGTAACCTAGATTCAGGTAGACATGTGTGGTTGGGGAATCCTCATGACCTAACAGTTGTACCTATGAACGTTGCTTTGGAATAATAAAGTTTGGTGAGTTTTTCTCAAAAAAAAATCTAAAGGCCATCGGAATTTTTACTTTTCCATCTAGCTAGGGTTACTTTTCTGGCAAACCCAACGCTGGTTAAGGGCGATTTTCCTAACCAGTGGGGCTGGCCCATTTATCTGTTTTAATCTATAGGTTTTTTTTCTTCGGTTTCCGGAAACGCAAAAGAAGTGCGTGCAGTGTGAGTCGAACCGGCAACCTCCTGTTTTTGAGGTGCAATGCACTAATCACCCCGCCACACAACCTCATATGATATTGTTCATATTTCTCTTTTTTTTATTAATTCTACTTTTTCTTTCCTTTTTCCTTTTTCTTCTTCCTGGTTCGATGAACTTTTTGGCGAAATTAATGAGCCTTTTTCAAAAAGTTGTTGAATTGTTTTTCAAATTTTGATGTTTTTTTTCAAATTTGATGAACCTTTTTCATATTTGATGAACTTTTTTCAAATCAATGAACTTTTTCTCAAAATCGTTGATTTATGTTTCAAATTTGATGAATTTTTTTCTAATTCAATCAACTTTTTCTCAAAATAGTTGACTTTTGTTTCAAATTTGATGAACTTTTTACAAATTTGATGAATTATTTTTAAATTGACAAACTTTTTCCATTTTTGTGAACTTTTTTTAATTGATACAAACCTTTCTCAAATTTTGATTTTCTTTCAATACGTGGTTTTTGTGAATGTTTTTTCAAATTTATGTTTTTTTATTCAAATAATTTATAGCTGGTATATAATACTACTATATGTTTAATGTTTGTACTAAAAAGAAAGGTCAAATAGTGTTGTTTCCTCTAATAAACAACAAAGTGAGTTTGTCCTAGTGGTTAACATGTGTGGCATTCAAATTGGCGGCCAGAGTTTGATTCCTAATCCAGCCGAATAAACTTGGAGTTTTTTCCTTCGCGTTTTGCCTTTCACCAGTTTGCTACATCACTACTAGAAAAAGAGCTATAGCTAATATGAACATTAATGGTGCACCATGTATGTGGTGAGCCACTGCTATATAGCAGCGACGCACCAGATACAGGTGCGCCATAGTGTCCTCATTACTAATGACGCACCAGACACACGGTGCGCCACTACTAGCAATTTTTTTTATTTTTTTATTTTTTCAAAACTATTAATGGCGCACCAGGGCACAGTGTGTCATTACTAGTTTTAACTAAACTAGTAGTGGTGCACCACACTCTCCGTGCGCCACTACTAACAATTTTCTTTTCAAAACTAGTAATGGCGCACATTTGTGAAGTGCGTCATTACTAGTTCAAACTAGTAATGGCGCACCACAACCACGGTGCGCCAATACTAACAATTATATACGGTGCGCCAATACTAACAATTATATATTTTTTTACAAAACTAGTAATGGTGCACCCCTAACTGGTGCGCCATTAGTAACCAGGGTTACTAATGGCGCATTTTTAGGTGGTGTGCCATTAGTAACTTGAGATCAACTAGATATTTTGGACAGCCACCTACCACACTCATTTTCCCCACTTCATTCTCTCCACCTCGTCCTCCAAGCTTGTCTCGGCTGCCTCCTCCTCCTCACCTCATTTGCACCATAGATTCACTCAAATTAAATGGTTAAGTTACATTTTTTGATAGGTAAGTAGGGGGAAAGCTTTCTTTATGTTGTAGATCTACTTTTTTCTCCCTCCAACAACGTGCACATGCACTTTTTATGGCCTAGCTAGATCTACGTATGTTTGTGGTGTTGCATATGTTTGTGTTTGCAGGTACCGGTATTTGAAATGCGATAGTTGCCAATATTTTGCCGGAATGTTGATTCATTTTTGTTTCGGCGAGAATTTGGCACTATGCATTCTTTTGATCCTATTTTTAGGCAAAGTCATGACAAATTTTTTCTTGGTTCTAAAATATCGTTTTGCTCTACCCCGCCGGCGACCATGGTCTGCACGATGACCGAAGGCATCGTGAATAGGTTTTTGAGCTCCGCGAAGGCCAAGATGCTTCAAAAGAACGAGACGGAGATAAAATGTCCGTGTCGAAAAATGCAAGCTGAAGAGCCTTATTGCGGACCCGGATTCCGGATAGGTGCGGGACCACCTGCTCTTGCGTGGTTTCATGGATGGCTATCGGTGGCAAGGTGATGAAGATGACTATGAAGTCGTCCATGGGGCCGGGAAAGAAACGAGGAAGGGCAGCAAGACAACCACCCCGGCGAGGGCGGGCGAGAAGACGAAGAATCTCCAGGACATGATCACGACGGTGATGCTGTACATAGTCATCATGTAGAAGATGCCAGACATGATGATGAGGAAGATCAAGACGAAGGGCATGATCATGAAGATGAAGATGCCGGAGCAGACGACGATGGACCATCGATGGGCTGGGTGCAGGACCCTCATATTCAAGAGCTGCTTCTCAAGCAGACGGATAACGCAAGAGCTGCCGCCCGAGAGAAAGCCAAGCTGGATCAACTGGAGATAGACGTGATTACTCCATTGTATGAAGGATGCAGGCCCGAGGATACCCGCCTGAAAGTAACGCTCATGGCTCTAGAGATGAAGGTAAACACAAAATGATCGACGCATGCTTCGACGAGAACATGTCATTCTGGCACGAACGTCTTCCCAAGGGGAACAAGTGCCCGACCAGTTTCGAGGAGGCGAAGAAAATTGTGTGTCCTCTGGATTTACCGCACGTGAAATACCATGTGTGCATGAACAATTGCATCATTTATCGGGACGAGCACGCGGAGTCTACCATATATCCGGTGTGCGGCGTCACTCGATATAAGAAGAGGAAGAAAGCTCCTCGAAAAGTGGTGTGGTACTTTTCGATCACTCCTCGTGTGCAGTGGTATTTCACGGACCCTAAGCTAGCAAAGCTCCTGCATTGGCACGGGGATAGGGAGGAGAAGAAGCGAGAAGATGACGGAAATGATCCGGAGATAAATAAAAAAAGACAAGATGCTGAGTCACCCTGAGGATGCGAGCCAGTGGCAAGCGTTGAACTTTGAACACCCAAAATTTGGGGCCGATCCAAGGAACATCGTGCTGGGCGCGAGCACCGATGGAGTCAATCCGTTTAGCTACTAGAGAAGCACACATAGCACCTGGCCTGTGTTTGTGTGGATGTACAACCTTCCCCCCTGGTTGTGCATGAAGAGGAAGTACATTCACGTTAGTATGCTAATTGAAGGGCCGAAACAACCAGGGAACGACATCAATCTGTATATGGGGCTGTTGAAAGAGGAGCTAGACACCATGTGGAAAACACCAGCCAATACGTGGGACGCCGCAGAGAAAGAATATTTTCTTATGAGAGCCGCACTGCTCACGACGGTGCACGAGTATCTCGGTTACGAATATCTCGCGGGGCTGGTGGTCCATGGATTTTCTGGATGCATCAGGTGCATGGATGACACAACATATCGCCAGCTAGATAGAGATCCCGGGTCTTCGAAAACCATGTTCATGGGACATCGAAGGTGGCTTTGCAACAATGACCCATGGAGAAAATGCAAGGATCTGTTAGATGGTGAAACCGAACCCCGAAGATGCCCGCGTACGAGGAGCGGCGAGGAAATAGACGAACTGTTGAAAAATTGGAAAGATTGCCCACTGCCGGGAAAGAAGCAAAAGAAGCCAGAGCCGGGAAAGAAGCGAAAGGCGCCAGAGCCACTGCTGAAGGTATGGAAAACGAGGTCTGTTTTCTCGGACTTGCCGTACTGGAAGATCCACCGTGTGCCTCACAGCCTTGATGTCATGCATATCACGAAGAACGTGTGCGAGAGTCTGCTTGGTACCCTGCTCAACATGCTAGAGAGGACCAAAGATGGGTCGAAAGCATGGGCAGACTTGAAATCAATGGGCATCAGGGAGGAGCTTCACGCTAATGATGATGATGATGAGGCGAAGCAGGACACGGAAAGTCGTCGCAAAGGCAAAAAGGCCAAGAAGACCGAAAATGACTACCCTCCTGTGTGCTTCACTCTAAGTCAGGAGGAGATCGAGCAGTTTTTCACCTGCCTCGTAGGAGTAAAACTTCCTTACGGTTACGCGGG